TTTTATTTAGATTCTATGTAACTATAGAATTCAGATAAAAAAATTTTTGTCGATTTTAGTTAAATGGTTGTTGAGATATCTTCACTCAAAAACTAAACATCTCGAAGTTGCGTCAAATTTCCTAAAAATTTACGCGAAGATATCTCGACAACCACTCGACCAAACTCAATGAAAATTTTTTTATTCGGATTCTAATGATGCATAAATTTCAAATAAAGAAATTTTTATTGAATTTGGTCGAATGGTTGTTGAGATATCTTCGCTCAAATTTTTAGAAAAACTTTTGTTTTGATAGCTCTACTCGTATAAAAATTTCGACCAATAAATTTCGATCATGCATGAAGATCATCATGTGACTGCCGATTTTTTATGGCACCACTATGTTACTAGTAATAACACAACCAATGATTGGTACAAATTTCGTGCTATAGAATTAAAAAAGAATTTTCCAATTGAAGATCTTTTACCAAAAAGTGAATGACTGCATTACACGAATTTGAAAAGTACTACATGTTGTGTTACCAATAAATGTGACCCAGTTCGTAGTCAATTGAACTGACCAATCAGATGCTTTAAGTGCACAAACGGACAGAAAGACATTAAAATTTTAGAAGTATAGACTTCAATGACTATACTGACAGGACAGAACGCTACATATATAATAGCGATATCAGGATGTAGATGTTATATTAAACACTAAGTCTTTTTTAAATATTGAAGTCAATAAAGCAAATAGAACTATTATACTATACATATGTATATATCTTTATTTTTATTATTTAAAGCTTAAGTTGTATGACAAATTTTATTTAAATTCAATAAGAAAAGCTTATTAGTATATCTATAACACCGATAAAAATTTATAATTTAGATTATACTAATAATAGATTTCTATCGAACTAATAAAAAACTTTTGGGCCCAAAAAAAATCGAAAAATTACGTTTTGTTTTTAAAACTTAGTTCTTTTATCTTAATGAAAATTTAAATTTCCCCGGAGAAATGTATCTTAAAAAAAGTTCATATTTAATGGTTTATATGTTAATATATTCCGAATAATTCTCTTAATAGGTGTTCAAAAGTTACGCCTTGATTATTAAAGAAGTTGTCGTGGTTAACATATGAGACACGTTCTCTCATATGTAGAGTTTCGGGTGAAGTTTCAAGATGCTGTTCGCTGCCGTTTGATTTATTGGAATTTTTTTGTTTGTAATCGTAAGGTTTAAAACGAATCCTCGTTTTCTTGCGTACACTGCCTATTTTATATGCATTACGAATGGACTTTACCAGCTCTTCATCATTTTTTTTAATATCAGACCATAATTTTTTAGAGATCTCAGACATAAACACCCATTCGGTGTTTAATCCTAAAGCCGAAATACATTGTTGAAGTTTCGACCGAAATAAGATAAAGTAATTCGGCGTACTTTTGGACTCGTCATTTAATTGTCTGATATATTCCAGGTCAGGAATTTCAAACTTTACGTACAATCCAGAATAAATCACGTGGTATTCCTCCCCACATTTGGCGAAAGAGATTGTGTGTTTAGAGACAGTTGATTCTCCAATAATGAAGTGATTAGGTGGGGGAGAACTTAAGGTCAGCGTACAGATCATTATCGTTAAAAAAGAATTTAATGGGTTTACCAAAGAGCAAGCAGAAGAGAAATTAACGCATTATATAAGAATTTTCATCATATAGAAGATGTCTATTATCGGAGTCGCTACTCCAGCTATGAACATTAATTACATTAATTTAAATGCTAAATTAAATAGCTAGCATTATTTTTGATAATCAAATAAAGCTATGTATAGTCGCAAAGATAAAATTTTTCGGCAATGTCCACAAATATGAATGCTTTGTTATAAGGTAAAGGCTCATTAATATGAGCATTACGTAATTCGCACGTAGTTCACACGTAGTTCACACGTAATTCATTTATGTCAATAATTTTGTATGAGAACTATTTTACTAGCTTTATAATCGATTGATTAATAATGGATTTTATTAAAGAGATTACCCACAATGCAAGAGATAATGTGAGATAATTCTGGTAGTTTTTTCAAGCTGATAAAAATTGTCGGAATTTTTTATTTAAAATAAAAAAAAAAGTAATAATGACAAGGTCCAATTTGGCTTTGTCTATAGTAGTGCTTCTCGTATACTTTACTAAATGAAAATTGAAATAGCCAATCAGAAGCGGGACTAGATTAATTTAATTCTAAAAAATCCAATCTCTTCTGTTATGCAATGCTATCGTGCATGTGCCTTCATAAGCCTCATTATTAACATTTGCACGAATCAAATTGGTAAATTATAAATAATGAGATAAATATGTTAAGATCTTTGGCTGATTTTGTACTCAACTGCGCAAACTTTGAAAGAGGAATTCGGAGTTCATTATCCCTGTAATGCTGTTCCCTGAAATGCTGTTCCCTGGAATGCTGTTCACTGGAATGCCGTTCCCTGGAATGCTGTTCCCTGGAGTGCTGTTCCGTTCCCTGGAGTGCTGTTCCCTGGAATACTGTTCCCTGGAATGCTGTTCCCTGGAATGCTATTCCCTGGAATGCTGTTCCCTGGAATGCTGTGGATAACTTTATTTTGAAGCGCAGTAGTTTGAAAGCAGTGTACAATCAAGGTATCAAGGTATATTGCTATTTTTATTTCTTGTTTTTTTTTTTTTTACACGCGTTAACCACTTATGTGTATAGGCAATTCAATTAAGTCATTCAATCATTGTATAACGAGAACTTAAAGATTATTTATTTTACCAGATTAGTAAAAGTATAAATATGTGAGTAATTCCTCTTTTGGACTTTTGCAAAATAATAATGAGTAACTGATTACAAATGTGTTTTATTTTTTATCGAAATTTGGAAAATTACATAGTGTTTTTTATGGAAAAAAGATTCAGATCAATCAATAGATTTGCTCTGAAATTACTAAAAGTTGATTGAGAAAATTATAGTCAAATTACTTTGTTCATTGATAATTTTCACATTACGTATGTATGATATCTTTGTGTTACCATCATATTCTCATACACGTAATGTGGATTTAGGATCTAGGGTTGTCCCTAAATTTGATTTTGATATCGTATTTTATTTCATTAAAATTTATAACGATAAGTGATTATCATTGGTATTATCAATTACCATATTCGTACATACTTATGTTACACATACTATATAATAGACGTTCACACCTCAATGTTTTAAGTCTTAAAAATTTGGCAATGATTTAATTTCAAGGCAGAGATAAAGATTTAGTAAAAAGTGTTTGTACCAACAGTTGCAATTTTTTTTAATACAATTGATTTCAAAGTATACCAAATACAGTCATTTATCCCAAAAAGATTCGCTATCGATGAACAAAAAATAACCGTCCAATATAATAAAAGAAGGGTAACCCTTGTTTAAATTTTTTTATAGGAGATACAACTGATTGGATGGTGGCGTGAATAATTATATAATCTACGCCTTCGGAAATAAGATTTCCGCATTGCCCAAAATGATCGACGAATAAATTCTCTAGTTAGCGTGATCTGCATATCCTGTGATATCAATATTTACACATTGTAATTATAAAAAGTTTGCTTAATTTAAGCATAAAAATTACGCGGCTGTGCGATGGTACATACCATAAAGAAAATAGCACGTGCTTAAATCGAAAAAAATAATAAAGTAAACAAGCATTTATCTGTCTCGTTGTTAACTATGAGTATTTTTAGACAGTCTAAAGCTGGATAGCATCTACATTTTATATTTTACACGTGGTTTTGATTTATAACTCGATTAGCGCTTTAATGCTGCGCAATTAATTTTAGATTTTTTTTTTTGTTAAACACACATTTCTATGTGATCCGTAGTTTTTATCTTGTTATTACTAAATTTAGAGATACGCCAAAGCCTTTAACTATTTATACGCAATTTCATTTGCTGATGATCAAACTCAAAAACGCTCAAATGTACCAATTACATATATTCGGTGATTTATATTACACTTTTAGTAACAAAAATATAGGGTGAATATATAGGATTGTGTGGCTTTTCAAAAAATTTTAGACGGTTAGAGATTATTTTGAAAAAGGGATTTCTTGTTGTATAGGTGACCCTTCAATATAAGTGGTTATCTATACTGCAAGAAATCCAAAAAAAAAAAAATTATTATGAAATTTTCTCACTCTTCTCTTCCCTCTCTATTTGAAGGGTGAGAGATGTAATATAAGTCATTAAATTAAATTGGTCTGGACTAATAAAATATGCATTTATAAAATTTTAAATTTATTAAAGTTATAGTTGAGTAATAAAATTTGCATTGTTTTTAATCAATTTTTAATATGCTATCAATAAAGCATTTTGTAAATTAATTATATTCTTGCCTATCTTTGTCATTGGTTAAACTATATCGTCTTTCTGGTGAATTATTGGTTTACTATTTATCATAGCGTTTCATTACTTGAATATCAGAATCCATAATTTTTGCAATCATTTTTCATGTACATATTAATAGGACTGAATTATATGTTGTGAAAGTATTTAAAAGGACCTAAACCTGTCAAATAAATGACTCAAAATTTCTTAATTCTTATTCATGATGTCACTAGGAGTGTTATCTGCCTGTCCAAACTTAAAACGAGTGTCTTTAATATGTAGGTTGAAATATATTATGCTGCGAATCATAATGAAACGAATTAAAAAGTTGATTTGGGATTTCTTTTTAAGCCCTTAAACTCTTTTATTTAAAAGTCAGAACTTTAAACTTATATGTAAAAACTTAAAGGGTTTAAAAAAACGTACCCCAAAAAATTTACTGCAGCGCATAAATTTTTATTTCATT